AATAGATAGATCGATAGATAGACAGATAGAAATAGTTTTATTGACCACAAAGGGAAATTAAGCATATGTTAATATATAGAGAGAGATACAGCTTCCGCATGGTCACTCATAAGGAGGAAGGAAGGAAACAAGGGATCTGCTCACAGAATCTAACTCAGAGCCACTGAAGGCATAGCCTGGAGAAGACTATTGAAGTGCACTAGCACCACCTTCAGACACATCCTGCCACATGCACAAGTTCAGACTAAAAATATAAAAGACTAAAAGACCACTAACTCAAATGTGTTATTTAAACTGCACTGCCCGAAAACAAACGAACCATTTAAATATATATCTATATCACCTGAAATGGTTTTCCAGCAGTCTTGAAGGTGTTCTCGAAGATGCTGAGTACTCGGTGGTCAATCTCATTCTAATCCATCTCTTCGGGTTAGTTCAGGTGGCAGTGAAGGCCAGGTCATCTAGGGCAGCATCCATCACTCTCCCTCCTGGTCAGATAGCCCTCACACAGCTTGGAGGTGGGTTTGTCCTAATGTCCTAATGAAAAATAAATGATGGTCCAAATGAACACAAACTGAATGGGATGGCATGTTGCTGCACCATGTGGTTTTAGCCATGTTGGGTCAGTGTGCCTTGAATTTTGAATAAATCCCCAACAGTGTCACCAACAAAGCACCCCCACACCAGCTACTGCTTCACAGTAGGAACTATGCACATAGAGACCATCCACTTACCTTTTCTGCGACATGGGTGGGTGGAACCAAAGTTTGACCAATCAGACCAAAACCCAGATTTCCACTGGTCTCTATCTGTTGTTTTTCTTTTCTTTAGTTGTAGTTTCTTAGCAGCTATTCATCATATAAGCCTGATTCACAGTCTCCTCTGAACAGTGGTAGAGATGTGTCTGCTACTAACTTATTCTCAGCAGCAGCGATGACTCTGGCGCTTCGCTTCCTGGGGCGGTCCTCATGTGATCCAGTTGCATCCCTGTGCTTGATGGGTTTTGCGGCTGTTCTTGGTGATACACTCAAAGTTTTATCATTTTCTGGACTGACTGATCTTCAGTTCTTAAGCCTGTTGGTTCTTGCCATAATATGAATTCTGACAGTTGTATGATAGGCAATGCCATTAAAAAGGCAAGAAATTCCACAAATGCCCTGACAAGACACATCAGAGAAGTGAAAACCATTTCTGGTGACTACATCATGAAGCTCATTGAAGGAAGGCCAAGGACTTGCAGCACCGTCAGCAAAGCAGCAGGTGGCTAAGGAATCTAAAATATAAAACATAACATATTCAGAGATATTTAACATTCTTTCTTTGCTACATAACTCCATATATATTGCTTTGTGTATTTATTTGATATATATACATATTATAGATATATAAAAAGTATATATATATTTGATACCTTCAATATGTATCTGAAGGCACCAAATGTCATTTCACCTATGTTTTTCCCCACAAAGTGAGAAACTTTTGAAAAGCAATGCATGTATAACACGGTGTACTGCATTTTAAGCACCATGATTTTTCTTATGTATTAAATATCAATAGACATTAAACATATTTAATTTTTTTTGCAGACAAAGCAGTTAAATTGTCTTAAACATATGCCAGCAAAAGTGACGCTACACTACATCTTTTATAAAATCAATCAGTAGTGAGCACCTAAGATCAAACTTAACATTAAAATAAAACACCATGATAAACATGATAAATACATGAATAATTTATTAGACATAGCAGTGGAACATACCATCACTGTACAATCAGTGTAATATCAGAAATATGGCCAGATGTGTAACATTTGGCTGTATTCACAACGCAATGGTATAAAAACATTTTCAAGTCCACGTTTGATAGAAAGGTGTGGAAATAGAGTGGAGGCAAGTGAAGGAAGGCAGTGCACAAACGTCAGGACTGATCTTCACAGCTGAAGATCCAGGATCCTAGATCCAAAGAGCTTCATTATGAACCAAATGACCCAAGATCTGGCAATGCGAATCCACACTGAAAACGTATTGACAGTTTGTGTCAACAATTAAATATCATTCATACAGGCTATTATCTTGGATTTTTGTAGCTGTTATTAACTTCAGGGAAAATAGGAGGCCTGTCCTAAAACGTACGTTCAGTAGCCTTACCAAATTTATATGAGCTAACTACGCTAAATCCAGCTTCTTCTGCGTCTCTGACAGTTTATCTTGCAATCGTTTCTTTCTCCAGTCCAGGAATTTCCTTCGCATCCTGTTCGCCTGCCAGCCAGCAAAGAAACCGGCGGCGAATGAGACCACGATGGCCACTTGTAGTGTTCTCTCTGAGACGTCTGCCATGTTCACCTCTGGCTGAAGGGGCAGGCCTGTGTCCAGTGTGGAACACAAAAACGTGTCTACATTCAAACAGGAAGTGAGCGCGCTGAACTCTCGCGATATTCTCGCAATCGTCGTCCCCGTTTTTTTTAGTTAATGTCGTTATTCATTCATATTGCCATTATTGTTACATTGTTGTACTATATTATATACTTTTATACATTTTATTTTCAGCAAAACAAAACAATAAACGAATTAAAAAATGTTTCCTGTACTTTAGGCCAAGTCTAAACTTTTAAACCTAAACATTAGCGAATAAAAATCCAACATTCACTAACCTCTCTACCTCTGTCGTTCATCCGGACCTGCGTCTAATTGGCAATTAAGAATAACGATGTACACGTGTGTTTGACGCAAGCGAGAAAACGATTAGTAATACTTAAAGACTGAAACACTTTATTACCAAAGAGCACGTTCTTTTATAAAGTGTAGTTAATTAAATCCTGTCTGCAGAGTTGCATTGCTGATACATGGGTTTTGTGCGCAACTGCGGTGCGTGGCGTGGTGTCTCTAGGCAATCTTTACACTCACCTGTTAGGACCTGTGTTGTGGTGGAGTGTGGAACGATCACAGCGTCCTGCGGGACGAAGCCTATCTCAGACTGTCGTGTTGTCTGGAGATCTGTTGACCCGGTCATCTATAGATAGGTCAGGCACCAGTCCGGGCTGCACCAGCACACATACACACAGATGGGCTGGGTCTTATGCCATTAAGCAAAAGGAACTCAAAAATTTGTGTGACAGAAAGTCAGTGGTGGAAAACAGTGCTGAATGTGCATGGACAAATTACCTTAATCTTTACAATAGCATTAGGTTTGTTAGTGAACATTATAACACTTTTTATTATAATAAAGGTTAAAATGCATAATTGTTTTATTATTCTATTTTAAGAATATTTCTATATACTTCATAATATACTATACTTCAATAAATGTATTATTTTTATTCATCAAAGGTCATTTAACATTATTAAAGTTCTAAAAAATAAATATAAAATTGGTAGGTTTAGAAAAACAACACCCTCAGCATCAGATAACAGACGACTCAGGCTTGAGGAGTGAAACAACATAGTAACAACTCACCCACCTTAAGTGCAGTTTTCCTGCCTCTCTTTTTCAGAGCCTTGTGAGACAGGAGAGGCTCAATGCAATAACCCTGGAACTGCAACCTACGGATGGGGGGCCGTCGTCTCTTTCTCCCAGGGGCCTTAACCTGCGGCCTGTGTATAAATTGAGGGCCAGGTGCTGCAGTTTCCATTTCAGAACTGACAAAAAGACAAAGACAAATGATGTCCAAAGCATCAGGAAGTGGCAGCTTAACAGTGTTGGCTCCTCTGAAACCTCCAGTGTGCTGACAGACAGACTGTGGTAGAAGCTGAAATGCACGTGAGACGAAAGACTCCTACAACTGCAGACATGGAACCAAATGTCATTACTGCACAGAGGGAGAGAGAGAAAGAGAGGCAGAGAGAGAGATCAAAACAAAAACATGTTAAAGCCTATACACACTGTATAATATCGCCTACATTTAATGAATAAAGAAACAAATCAATTGATTTTTTTTTATCTTCAGTAGCAAAAATAAATCAGTATTGACATCTAGTTGAAGATAGGAATGGGGGACCTGAGTTTGAGAACCCTGGAACCCTGTAACAACTAGTCAACTCTGCTTTTGATTCAATTTATTGCATCAATAAAATAGTTTTTCTTACCTTTAACTCAAACATTTGCTGCACAACAAAGTTTGTCTGTATATTGTTTATATATGTGCAATGTTATTTAATTTCCCTGAGCTAAAACCAGAAAGTGCTTGACTGCAGAACAAATCATAATGATATAAATATTACAGTATTGTATGTACGCTGCCAACGGCAGGAAATGGTTCTTCACTTCAGCAGTCGGTTTTCCCCGTCTGATGTCCGACTGTCTCAGTCTCTGCTGCTGCTGGTTCTGGACACTTTGAAGTAACGATGGTAATTCTGCATATCTCTGTCTGTTTCCTCCTTTAACAAACCCCATTGTCCTCCCCTGGCTGCTTATAGTTGCCATAGCAACAGACTCCTAACACTCCACAGTAGCCAACATACTTTACATGTTGTGTCTAGTGTTTTACTAGAGGCTACATTTAAGGGGCAGAATTTCTCTATTCTGATGCATATGTACAACTGTACTGTAGTAACAATTACATTTTAAAATCCTTTTCATGCTGTGGAAATGAATGGAAATCCAAAGAAGGTCCTCACAAGAACAGCTGTGCAAGGATGTGTGTGTGCACGTGTGTGAGACAGTAACGTAATTACAGCAACAGCAGTTCAGTCCTCAAAAAATACCTCAGCAGGGTGACGACAGACTCCAGCTGTGCAGTTATCGTACCATGAACTTTAATGGCTGTGAACTGTAAATAATCCTGAAATTAAGCTGAGTTAAAAAAAATCCTTTTAAAATTAAACCTCAGCCCTGCTGTGTAGTGTCATTTTTTAAAAAAATAAATTTTATAGCAATATAAACATTTTGATTGATTTGATTGATTTTACACCTAAATAAATGTTAGAATATTGTTTTCACATGAATCGTCATATCGTCTGTTTTTCTCACCTTTGTCATTTCCCACAAGTGAGACAATCACAGCATCTCATTTAAAAGGTTTTTATTTGAAATGATTTTAAATACAAATAATATATTTTTTTCCATTTACAATGACAGTTCCTTTGTAAACAAAAGGGGCAGACAGATAGTCGTTGGGTAGTTGGTCCAAACTGGACCAGTCTGGACTGTGTCACGGTGTAGTATCTAACCTCACTGCAGTTTTGTTTTTTTTTCCCAACACAGCGTCGAACCACTGATGCTACATTCTATTGCAGAGCGATAAATACTCAAGAGTACAATGTTACCTGTAAGCATACACCTGCTTCAAATGCGATTAAAGAAGGGTAGAGTGCGTGCATGTGTTTGTGTGTGTGTGGTATTAAGGTAGAGAACGACCTCTCCTACAACGGCGTTGTACTAAAATGTGGTATTGTGAGGATACTCCTGGTGAAACAGTTTCTATTTATATCTTTTGAAAATGGAACTGTCATGCTGACGACATACGGTGAAAACCCACAGAGCGGTACAGGGAAGCCCTGATTTTCTCATTCTTCTAACTGACATACAACCAAGGTTAAAACAGGGGAGAAAAAAATGAATAATAATTAAAAAAAAAAAAAATAAGACAAAGTTCTGTCTTACATTTGTTGTAACTGCAGTTCAACAGAGATGAACAAATCTCTTTCATCAGAATTTCTCCTGATATCAGGTTTTTCTGTGCATTTCTGCAGAAGATGGATAAAAATAAAAAGATCCACAAGGAGATTTGATGAACAGAACCTCGAGTGTAGAAAAGTCAGAGATTTTGTTCTGCTTGACTATGGGGTGCTGAAGAGAATATCAGCATTACACCACACACCACTTGTAACAAGTTCACACCACTTCAGATCGTGGTGCAGCTGTTTGTCCCACACTGCTAACCCCCTGGCCCCAGACCTGACTACTTACAGTGACTGTCATGGCAGCATCAGTGATGATATGTAACAATTCTGCAGAGCTGTAGGATTATATGACCAAACAACTACCGACTACTTTCTACCCTCCCATGAACCACCGGTGCATGGCACCCAAGGATGTGCATGATGTGGTCTTTCAGTTATATTCATAAGGCCTTTTTGGACAATGAGTATACAGTGGAATGTGCAACAATGGACAGGAAGTCTGAAAAGCCACAAGTATATTATTTATATCAGTATTAGTATCTGAGCCCCTAAAAAAAGACCAAAATCCACATCTTTGTTGTTGTACATTAAGAAAATAAAGACCATAACACTAAACATCTTTGTAATGTTACACACTTATGATTCATTTTAAAAGACTTCTGACAGTTGTCTTCTCAGGTTGACTGCAGCAGAGGCATCACTATCTATCTGTGGGTGGCGGGTGATCATTTGGAAACAGTTAGAGAAAAAAACAATATGAAACTTTAATGTGATTCCTGACAAGAAACAGCTAAAGCTCACATGTTTTGTTGTTAGATTGTCCAAAAGAAAGTTTCATTGAAGGGAAATCATTTGGTGCAGTGTGATTTAAAAAAAAGGGGCATTAGAATAATGTCACGACTTCCACAAAGAGTTTGTGATGCTAGTTTTTTTCCACTTAGAATTAGCTGTTGCACATTCTCTCTCCCCCTCAGGAAAAGAGCCCAGAAAATAGGTCCTCCAGTCCACAGTGTGACAACCTTTCATACCTGTATAAACACATACAAGGTAACAAACTCACAGGAGACACACGTACGCACATACACACACTCACTCACACACACACACACACACACAAAAATCACCCTGTCACATACATGCCAAATCACACACATGGGTCTGGTGTAAAGTATTCACAGACTTTTCATCCGCCAGATACGGAAAGTGAAAGAACAAGTCTCTGTAGAAAAGGGCCATGGTCACAGTTAACGTTATCGTTAGGACAGAACACACTAAGGGAAGAAGCCGATGGGAGAATTGCTCGGAAGCTGTCATCAGTGTGCATGTGTGTGTGTGTATGCAGTTGTGTGGCAGGGAGGGCAGGGTTGTTCGCTGTGGATTACGGCTGTGGGGTCTGGAACAGATTGCTGGCCAGTCCGTGGGAGAAGGCTGTTGGATTGAAAATGTCCCCATTCAATTTTTTAAATTTCAATCGTTGTCTTCATCATCTTCTTCACTCTCCTCGATGCCATCACTGTCCTCCTGCTCCTCGTCCTCCTCTTCCGTGTCAGGGATGTCCCACTGTGGGTGGTTGTCAAGCATGGCTTTGGCCTCGTGGACCTCCAACTAGAGAAACACAAGTGAAAAGCAGCTCAGTTTGGTTCGGTGTTTAATTTATATTTCCAGCTTATAAAAAAAAAATACAACAAAAACAAAAAACTATTTATTATTGACAACAGTTAGTTGTTTATAATGATGATGGTGGCTAAACATGGTGGACTGACTCTGTCCATGGTGCTGAACTGGACTACCGGTCAAGCCAAATAATGATTCACGTGGGATGTAAGAAATACAGTAAACACACGTGACCACCGGTAACCACCCACCCACACACACACACACACACACGCACACACACACGAGTATTGGACTTTATTCACCTTCAGTGGTTTGATCTGGTCCAGTCCCATGAAGGAATCAGAGCGGAGGATAACCGAATACTGGTAGTTCCCTGTTTTGGAGGGAGCTGGAAACTTCAGCTCAACCTGGGAATCACAAAAAGACTCTACAGTCATGTGGTCACTGCAAAAACATTTATTTGTTCACTTTTGTACCTGCTGTTTATTTTTTTGTTATCATTACCTTTTAAGGTAAGTAGCAGTCAACTATTTACTGAAACAGAATATTACAATTTAGAAAAAAAAACAGTTGGACTCGTTAATGACTCATCTCAGGATGACAGGCTCCAACTGTAAATATTGAACCAACATTAGCCAAGCTGTGATTACTCTGTCACACAAATGAAACCAAATCCAAACGTCTAATCATTAGAACAGCGTTACTAATTACTATGCAGTGAAAATAAAGAATGAGCCGTGACGACGCCTGGAATGAGAGCAAATACTGACTCTTATGCTCTACCAAGAAAAACGTGTCACACCTTCAATGTGTGAGTGGCTCAATGACAACGACATCGACAGCATCTGGGTTTCACACAGTGACAGTAACTGACTGCTAACACGGATCTGTTACGCACGTGTGGCTAATCCTGTAGCTGTTACGCTACCTGCCGCCACAGCAGGTGGAGGAAGTCATGCAGAGCAGGCCCTCATTAAGCTTTTACCTTGCTGTCAATCCTGCTGCAGATGAACAGCAGGTCCATCGGTGTAAACTGGGAATTAAACACCTGTGCACCTCTCACCAGAGGAATAAGGTGTGAACATGTGTCCCTCATATACTGACCACATTGACAGTACCTGAAGACTATTACAGGATGGATTAGAGTGACACAAACTTCTGTGTATATTTAAAAGACCACCTTTCAGGACTCCATTACATTTAATATTTTCTGTGAACTGAAATGGTCTCTGAGTGTGAATGTTTTCTGCCTTCTCAAGGATCTTAGACACACAAACTCACCTCCTCTGTGTCTTTGAGTGTGCAAACATGGTAGGGAACAGAGACGAGGGTCTGATCCCGACGGTCGGCGATGTAGAGCCACCACCACTCCTGCTTCTCCTCGGGGAAGTAAAGGCTGTAGACGGGGTGCGTCACTTTTGATTTGGTCTCAAGCAGGGCTCGTTCTCGCCGCTGAATGCTTTGCTGCAACGCCTCCCACTCCTGTAGAGAGCAAATGTAAAGCAAAGGGAAAACTAAAAGTAAAACTAATTTCTGGAGAATGATTGATTTACATTAAGGCAAATAAAACTAGAATTTACACAAGAATTTAAAACTAGACTGAAGCAACTAAACAACTTGAACCCAAAACAATGTTTGTATTACTAAAGAGCAACAAAAGGTACCAAAAAATAAAAAAATAAAAAGTAAGGACAAATGTTCACAAATCTCAACAAGACAAATTAGCCAAATGGTCCTCTATTATACTTGTCAGAAACCACTGGCACTGTGTAAAATGTTTTCTGACCTCCTCGTCGTCACCTGCCATTTCATCCACCTCAGTGTCACTTTGCTTGTCGCTGTCATCGTCTCTTTCGCTGGCAGAGTCTTTGTTGACCTCGCCCTCATCCGACTCGCTGCCTTTGTCCGAGGCATCATCCTCTTCTTCCTTTGCTGCTGCCGTTGATGCTGCAGCTGCCACTTCCTGCAGTGACAAAAAAACCCAAAACAACAACAGTGACAACAGGGGTGGTGCGTTTGATAATCAGATGTAAATGTGAGTAGAAAAAGGACGCGTACGTTTCCTGCTACGTTGCCGTTGGCCTGTTTAGACTTGGCCGGTGCAGGAGTGGCCTTCTTCTTGGTTAACTTTTTCTTCTTGGACTTGGCCGTTTTCTTTGCTCCTTTGCTCTTGTTCTGCCAAACTTTGGTTTTGGCTTTACTGGAGTCTGCCTGCTTCACACCAACACACCAGAAGGTCACATCAAATCAATGATAGTTTAATTTCGCCGTGTGTGTACGTGTTTCTTCTTTCTTTTCTTACCGTTTCTTCTGTGGCAGCAGCAGCCTCCTCTCCTGGACACTGTGTTGTGTCCTGCTCTTTTTCAAACATGTCCTATGTATGCATTACAAAAACAAATCAGTTTTTCAATGCATACTGTCAACACTGCCCTCCAGTGGTAAACCACGAAAATGCAAACACAAGGCAAAAAGATGGAGTTTGTTAAAGTTTTACTGACAGCTGATGTGACTTCAGTGTCAGTCCTTACCGCCATCCGTTTTCTGGTTAGGGTGACTGTGACTGTGACGATGGAGCCTGCTGTGATGTTATTACTGTCTTCGTCGTCCAAGACTGCAGAGAGACAGTGTGGACAGAAACCAGATATATGTTAGTATATGACACTGAAAATATTTACTGTCCTTCTGAGTGTTTACCACATCAGTGGTGTTGAAAGACCTGATACAGTAAGTGGTCCACAACTCCACTGTGTGGACCACGTCTACTCGAACATGTCCTCCAGGCTCAACCCTTCTTAGTTTTGCAGCAAATGACCAAATACTATTCTTTCAGTATGCCATCTCTCTCCAGGTTATCTCTAGCTGACTGCAATGTGGCCTGAGGGTATTTCTGCAGAAGGAAAGTTCTTCTTTGTCTGTAATCTCTGTGTGTTCCCCGAATTCTCCTCAAAGTGGTTTTTTTTCACACTTTATTTGCATGCAGGGCTAAATCTTTCACTTCCAGCCTAACAGTTATTCTTGGAACTTTAGAAACATCTTTTCTTAGTCTTCTTTGAAGTCTTTAAAATCCCCGATTTTTTTCCTCTGCCAGTTTTATTTTGTTATTATTCTGTCCTCCACAGTCAGAAACTTTCCAAATAGAATTTTAGTGTAGTTCATCTAACAGATGGTTGATCTTATAGAAACTTAAAATTCAGTTCACCCTGCAGTTTGATGTCCATGGTGAGGTGAGGGAAGCTGCCCAGCACAGCCATGACCTCTTCGTACTTCTCCTCTCCCAGGAAACGCAACATGCTGCGTCTGTCTGAGTCCTTCATACTCACTAGGTCCTGCAGGCTCCGAACTTTGTACTGCGGAGATGACGACACAGTGAGGATTTATTGGACGCAAATCACACCATTAAGGATATCCCATCATGCACAGACACAGGTGTGCTGTTAGGTACCTTTTTGGAGTTGCAGTAACGGAGATGTTCCTCCTCGAAGTGGGGTAGCTGCAGAAGTGGTGACTTTGATTCCTGCAGGCCCTGAACTATCATCTGGGTCAGTCTCATGCAGTTCTCTATTGTTCCCAGGCGCGGGGCGTGAAAACCTAAAAAGACACACATGATCATCAATCCATTAATAACAAAATCAAGAGCAGCTGACAGATGGACTGGAAAGGTTTTTTTTTAGGTTCCTGTATAACCTTGAAAGTTTTGTGTATTAACAAACCTAATTTTTAATTTCAGCAACTATATTAAGCATTTTACAATTTTACTTTCCACCTGTGTACATGTCATGTGTACCTCCTCTACTGTTGGCCATCATCGTCAGCTGACAGCCCACGTTGATCATCTCCTGCAGGAGTGCTGGACTCTTCCTCACTACAAACCTCTGATCTGGGAACAGAAAACACACATTACCTGATGTAGGTGACTAGTTAATTGTATTTGCATCAAGTCCAATGAATAAGTAGTCTGGTGTTTTCAGGGTCCTACCTTCCTCCAACTCCTCAGACACATCCATTCGAGCCAGGTGAGCCAGCACTAAGACTCTGGCCTTCAAACTGTAAGGATAACAGAATGGAGGCTCCTTCTTCTTCACGTTGATATTTCCTAACTCACGTATCAACTGCAAAGAAAAAATAAACGTTTTTTGAGAACTGATTTCTTGGCAAACACACAAAAACAAAACAGAAAGTTGTCTTCGTGTTCGTACCTGAGGCACTACGATGTTGTCTGTTGGCCGTATGGTGGCTTCTTTATTGCTGCGGGGGTCGAACTCAAACGCAGCCGTCAATACCATACCCAAACCTGTTGTTCGTATTAAATATTAAAGTAAATTGGCTACTAAAGCACTTCTGAAAGTTCCATGAATGCTACAGCCACCACAGTGTGTGTCAAATGAACTCACGCTTCATGTTCATGTTGGGCGTCTTGTACATGAAATGCATGAAAAGCTGAGTGGTGTTGATGAGGATCTGGTCGCCGCTGTAGCGGATGGAGCGGTACCACCATGTGCCCTATGACAGCAGACAAAAGAACATGCAGTTTGTTAAGTAAAATCATTAAGGGGTTGAAGAGGAAAATGAATGAAGTGGACGCTGGTTTAAGGGCTATATAAAACTTACCACAACCACAGGAAGGATGACCATGAAGGCTAATCCATACACTAACAGAACCTGCAAGAAACAATGTTGTCTTTTAGTTACTGAGTGCATATTAAAAACAACAATAACATAATTACTCAGGACAAACCAGCATCGAGTTCTTCTGGTCAACAATCCAGGCAGGCAGGGCAATGCCAAAGCTGGTAGCTGAGAGAAAAAAACAAACAACAAAACCACTTTTATGACACCATTCCATCTTTACAAAGGACTTTTAAAAAACAAAAAACAAAATTGTCTTTATTTACCTCCTGGTCCATCAGGGTTACCGTACATTTCCCAGTTCTGCCGTGACTGTTCATTGGTCAGACTGTGGAATAGAAAATACAAATATAAGTATCAAAACAGATGCAGTCTTATTTACTGCATCACAAAGAAAACGTCACAAAGAAAGTGTCACTTACGCATTGTAGGCTTTGGCGATTCTCATAAACGTATCCTGGTCGCCACCTTTGTCAGGATGGAATTTAAGCGACAGTACACGGTACTGCTTCTTAATTTCTGACAGCGATGCACCCTGGAGAGACAGATATTTGAAAAAAAAAAACAGCGGACAAACTAAAGGAACATTTACAGCCAATTCTTCTGATATTTTACCGGGTCCAGGTTTAGGACTTCATAAGGATTGTACTCCTGGTATTCTCTGTCCAACTTGGACACCTTGTAGGCTAGCAGCAGGAACACAGCCCACCCAAATAGCAAAGCGGCTTTCCTGAGAAGAGGCAGAACACAAACAGGAAATGTTAGACCTACACACAAACATCTGTCCTCTCTGCAAACTTCAGAGCTCCTTCATGTTAATGGGACACTATCTTCTTACTGTTCATAGATTTAAATCAAAAAATCGTCGGCAAAATAAAAAGATAAAAATGTCTGACTTTATCTTTTTGTTATACATACAACTATGAATCCCTGTGTCTCTAACTCCACTTCAAGCCTTATCACCAGAGGTAATTTAACATATATTGGGAGCTTTCTCTTCAATTGCCATTTTAATCTGTTCTTTAAAAACCTTCCAAAATGTTTTGATGCAAGTGTACCAGCTTTCCTTGAATTTCAGGTCTGTGTAATCCATCAGCCCTGCTTGTATCTGTCATTTTCATTGGATATAAATTATGCATCCTGTGTGAACTTGTTTCCATGACAATAAAAAAGCCCTGTGGTCTGCACCGCAACATCTGTTGCCATGACAACCCAACTGCTCACTTGATTTAGTTGTCTGAGTAGACGAACCATAAAAAAACCAAAAGAAAATTCACAGATCAGAAATACAGACAACACTGTTTTGATACAGCAGAGTGGAGGAACCACATACTCTGACATTAGGACAAATCATCCCTTAGTCAGATAAAAAAAACATTACTCAACTGAATCAATCAAAATGCAATGTTTCAATGTGAGTCCATAATTAAAAATAGGTTTAGAAATGCAGTCATATACACAACACTGAGGCATATGTGTCATGTAAAGACAAATGTTAAACAATGCGACGTAGTGTTTACACCAGCATCTGGTGTAACTAAGCAACACAGTGTTAGTTCAATAGCTAAGGACTGTGTGAGATGATGATGTATTTATTGGTCTGTAAAAAGAAACGTCTATCTCTCCTCTTTATATGTGCGTGTATGTACACAAATAAAAATACCTGTATCAGTTTTTAATATTTTAAAAATTGAATCAATCAACCATACTAATATTTAATCAGTCAGGAATCAAACAGTGGTGTGAAACCGCTAAAAATAAAAGTTAAGGTAAGCTTATCCAATTTAAATGTTTTAAGGACAATAACTAGAAACAAACTTGCAGTGTCAACGTTTTATCACATTAAACATAAAAACATTACCAATAGCTACAAAGCTACATAAAAATGTATTTGACTGTAAGTACAATGCACAAGATTTTCAACTTAAATGTTGGATATGAAAATACAGCTACATCCCAAAGCTGAACAACATTGGCAGCACGGCCTTTGGCTAATCATGACACCAGAGTCACAAGCTGTTGTGCTCTTGACTCCGAGTGCAGTCGTATGGCACGGTGACATCACGTCTATGATGGGAGGATCACAGAGACTGAACAAACAAACTGATCTGACAGGTCATGGCTCCATTGAAACTAGTGACAAGACGTTTGGCAACAAAGGAAAAAAGGCACCGAACCTGTTATGGTGCTGACAAACAAGCTGAGGCAAAAATCATGCAACTGTGTCACAATTTACTTTTTGACTTGAGCAGATTCATTCACATGAGTATGCTGCTCCACAGGAGCTTAATGGACTCCATTAACATGTTAACTTTAAATCCACTGTCATTACTGTCCTCCTTTGGCTTGCACTGGATTTACCACATCCCAATGTCACATCATTATGATGTGTGGCGAGGGCGAACATTTTTAATGGAGAGAGGCTTTCACCTCGCACAAAGGGATTTACTGTTAGACCCTGAGACTAGAGAGAATCTGGCTGAGCGTTCCTTCAAGGTCAGGACATAAAGCTTCGAAGACTGGTTTCGGAGCAGATTTCACTATTATTACAGTGCAGAAACACACTACAAAACAGTTGGACCTACTTTAGTGTTGGTACAATGCTCTGCTGTGACTTCATCAGCCTGAGACGGTACCACAGACAGCGACCGTGAACCCTCCTGAGGCTCTTTAGGCGCAGTTGTTCTGGTAAATAAAAATAAAATAAAAATAAGAACAATAAAAACATGATCACTCACACAGGAATACAGTTAAAACAGTCACAGTCAGTACCACGGTATCTTTCCCCACCAGGTTGCTCTCTTTTATAATTTTTTCTCATCTTATTACTATTCAACTGCCTCTAAATCAGCAAATGACAACTTTCTATACCATGACGTTTATTTTTTGCTCTACAATTCTAAGTACCATCTCTTCTCCTGCCTGTGGTTACTGTCTATTAGTTTACAAATATAACAATTCAATTATTCATTTAAATGCTATCATTTGCTAAACATTGTACATCAGGACAAATATGTTTACTCTGTTTGAACTGTTATACAGTATTTGTAAAAACAAATTCTCTACTTTTTAAAAAAAATATTAGTTAGTTTGTTTTTTATTGAACATCAAACAGTGATGTGGCCCTGCAAAGACTGGTGGTGGCAGCAGTGGCCCTCAGCTCAATTGAGTTTGAGACCCCTGCTCTAGACCATACATTAAAACAGGTTTGACGGTTATCATGACACATATGTCACTCATGCTGTCATCATCTTGTCACACCTAACCCCATTTTTTTGTACCCACACTACATGCTCTCTCTTACATTTTAATGCATGTAATAATTTCTGCACATTACACCATAATTCACTGGGATTACTGAAATCATATCTGCCATATCTGTCTTCCTTGTAGGAGGCAGCTAAGAGCTAATTCCTGGTGTTACATTCACTCTCTCCTAAACCCATCAGCCACTCAGACTACACACAACGTTTAAGGTGTGACCTTTAATTGGAATAAGTGGTTTTGCTATTAAAAGAAAAATAAAAAATAACATGGATGACAAATCAAATTTACATTTGAAATTATGCAACCACTATAGAGCTATCAAACACAGCGTCTTTTGCAGTACCATATCGATAAGATTGTGAGTTTGAGCATATGTTACATAACCTCTGTTTAATTAGCTCTGTTGTTGACAAACAGATAGCTACAGTTAAAGATAAGATGTAAACGTAGAATAGGAAGGGAGCTAATTTGTTTAACTTTTCCGATGCCAACATTGTTACATATTCTTGTAACCTGTCTGGAGTTAAAGTGTCAAGTGTGCCGAAGATTAATAAAGCAGTGCCGGAAACTGTGTCAACACTAGTTGACTGGTGATACTGTGCACTTAGTGAGACGTGGACTGGTTTGCCATCTAGCATCGTCTGGTTTGTGCAGTCTCTACATCACGTTGCCGTTCAGGCAGAAGAACAAACTCCCCTGTATTCGGTCTAAAATGACCTAAACATTTTACACCGCTGTGATTGAAGCTTGTTAGTTAGTCAGCGAGTTTAGCTAAGTTAGCAAAGAGACAGACATGGGGCCTTACCTGCATTCTGATCCCGGGGCCAGAGGTAGTATGTGGCTGGGATCACAATAAGTCCGACGAAGGACGTAAGGAAATAGAAAAATGTGTTGCCGCTGTCGTCATACTGGAACTGTTGTCCGGCCATTTCTTAGCGGCGTTCAGGTCTCCCTTCTTCTCCGCCACCGCGCTTCCCCTCCTAACCCAATGTATGCGACTGGACAGACCGTTAGTTAGCCAGTTAGCAACGAGCTCAGAACGCTGAGCCTGAGCACTGGGCTACGTGGTGTACGCACGCGCAGTGTGGAAGTTCTTCTTCGTTTATTTTTATTGCGACAATTCTACTCCCTGTTGACGCCTATCGATGATGGCGGGGACAAACGCGCCTGGCTATCAAGCAGCCAATTGTTATCAAATAACAAACACACAAATAGAAATGTATTGGTCTGAATTTACGGTATAGCCCATTTGACAAACCACAGTATCAAAATGAATTCATATAGTCCATTATTTATGGGATGAATAAAGACTTATCTTATCTAATAATATAAATACTACTACTAATAAAATGATTAGTATTAGTAATAATACTAATAACAATACTACTACTACTACTACTACTACTACTAATAATAATAATAATAATAATAAGAAGAAGAAGAAGAAGAAGAAGAAGAAGAAGAAGAAGAAGAAGAAGAAGAAGAAGAAGAAGAAGAAGAGGAAGAAGAAGAAGAAAATGATCATAATAATGATCATAATAATGCAAATTTAAATACAACTTTGTGTGTATTATATTTTAATCTATTATATGGCTGTAATAATTGCAAGCATCAATCACATTAAAGCACCTCATGAAATTGTTTATTTTACAGGTGTACAACAATTCTATCCAATGGCTTGCGTGCAAGATCAGGAACAGTAGCATCTGGTGCAGGGTAACCAACAGGGAGCAGCATCAGCAGCTTCTCATTGACTGGCCGCTTGAGCAGCAGCCTGAGCCTGGGGCCGCAGTTGAGAGGAGTGGATGTGACGGTCACAAGACCTACGTTCTGGCAAAACATCATTTCAAACATGGTGTATTAATGAACAGGAAAACAAAGGAAGGTGGTCTGTATTTTTAAAAGGAATGTACCTGCAGTGCAGCAAGTAGAATTCCACAGGATATTGAGACACTAATTTCGTTGTAATAATGTGTCTTTTTCTTGTTGTTTGACAAAATTCCATAAGTCTGTTTGAAGACAAGGATCAAGTATGGTGCATCATCCAAATAGTCCTTAATCCAGTTTGTTCTGCAGAAGACAAAAAAAAAAAAAAAAAAGGTAAACTCAAGACTTAATATTTGGTTGTGTAAATTACAGAATGGTGCATAAACACAAATTTGTTCAACAAGTGTTGGTACGTACTTTAATTTGGACAAATCTTGGACCCACTTATCGCCCATCCTCTGACGGTAGTTCAATTCCTCTTCCTCCTCTATGATCAGTCTTACCTGGTGCTTCAAATCAGCATCAGATACCACCACAAATACCCAGGGTTCTGTATGAGCTCCACTAGGGGCTGTACCTGCTCAGAGGAGAAGGGCAATATATAAAGTAGACAATTACAAGATTATACCCAAACTCTTCTGACTATATATTTCAGTAAGATGTTCATTTGTTTGTATGTGCCTGCAGTGTGGATGACATTATCGATGACTTCTAGAGGCACCGGCTCCGTGCTGAAAAACCGAACCGTCCTTCGCTGATTCATCAGCATGTAGAAATCTTTGCTCCTCTTCAGCATGGTTTCCTCAGAATAACGTTGTGTGGAGAACGGCACTTGTTGACAGTGCTCTTCACTGCTGTCCACCTCATCCTCTACAAACAATGACCAAAAGAATAGCATGAGTTGGAGGACTCATTTGATATGAGAGGAACCATAACAATTAAGTGGATAACTGTCCAATCGTTCAAGGGTGTCAACAAATAAAAATTGCCACAGGTATATAACACACATGTAGAATTTCAGCAAGTCAGCTCAGCTTTTATTGTTTTGTTTTTTGTTTTTATTTAACTTTTGTCCCGATCATAAAGATCTGCAGATATATAGCCATCTCTGTTTCTGAGCAAAGGTTGTACGTTATCTGTACCAGCAGAGTTAAGATAAAAAAAATATGTTTTTATCCTGTACAGAAAAATTGATTTTGTCAAATGTTTAATAGATTTTAACACAAGAATTTCTCCCACAACCAGAATAAATATTTTTTAGATCCTTCTAATAACGGACATCACTGTTTTTAGGCTGAAGTCGATTAGAGTGGCGACCACTAGCTGCTTATATCATGTTTGTGTAAGCAGCAATGGTTCTTGACCTGTTCCCCTGCACTGGACTCAAAGTCCTACTGATGCAGAACTGTTGACTAATTCCGTCACAGACTACTGCAGCTGTTTCCAAAGAGGGGGCAAGGGTCTGCCAGGCGGGCAGGAGCTGTTGCAGAGCAAGGCACTGTTTGTCCCACAGTGGGGAAAGTATTTTACCTTTTTTTTATTATTTTGGAAAATTTCACTCAATTTATGATTTTCAGAGAGACTAATTTTAAACAAGTGGCGCTTTGGCCCAGAGGCAAGGTCGAATCCCAGTTAGGGCGGTTAATACCTTTCAGTGGACTCACCACCCGCAGGAAGGTTTGTGGGGTTGGTATGGTGCAGTGTGATTTGGGTGGAGACTGCTGCCCCCGTGACCCGGTAACGGATAAGCGGATGAAAATGGATGGATGGATAATTTTAAACAGTATTTACTGTAAGAATGCATATAAATATACACGGTCTCACTATAGCTGATTACTCCTTTTCTTCTTTTTGATGTGTAACCAAATTAATCACGCGTTTATCTGGTTAGAGTAGTTTCTATTGACTCAAATTGATTTAATATATTTACATGCAAATTATTTAAGCCTAAAGAAAAGAAAAATTATCGCTCTTATCTTACCTTTCTCTGTTGTTTCTGTGCTGTCCTGTAAATCCTGATCAACCCACGGTCTGGGGTTAGTTATTGGTGCAGTCTGCTGAGACTTCAGCAGCATAAACCCAAGGACCAGACAAAAAATCACTACCAGCACTGGTGTGAGAACACTGAGGAGAGCCATGACTCCTGTCTGTCAGACTGCACATGAAGAGGATATTAACCCCTCTAATGTTGACATGAGATCTGGGTTAACGTCAGAGAGAACAACGCCTTACTAGGTCCTAGCCCGTCCCATTCAAGAGCAGAGGCGTGCCATGAAAGTGGTTGAAAGAAAATTCACGTCCAGTTGCCTAACAGAACTTTTCAACCATGAAAGAGGTATTTTATTCCAGGACCTAACCTTAACCCTCTAGTTAATGTTTTTTCAACCAGCAATGTATTAATTTTGAAAGTAAAGTAAGAATATAAAGTTAAATATATTCAGTATATTGTAGTAGGACGAAGAAAGCGCAGAAATCGAGAGTGGGTTTGAACCCTTTATTCTGCCATCATAGAAAAAACGCTGTAAATGTTTAAGTTCTGTATGAGTCACTTCAGATCATTTTGCATTATTCTTGTTATTGCTCGTTATCTTTGTTTTGTGTTATTATCTACATTGTAAAGAAACTAAATGTCATTTAACATAGCATATTTACAGAATATAATAGAATAGAATAGAATAGAATAGAATAGAATAGAATAGAATAGAATAGAATAGAATAGAATTCACGCAATGATTTACATGAGTGAAAGATTGACCATATTGGACGACACTATACTCTTACACATTAGACTTTGTGCCACTCATCAAAGTATTGTCTTGAGTTTCGTATTGTAAGTTAAATTTACTGCGTTTTGTGTAAAGATTTGTCAAAAAGAGAAAACAAAACATGTTACAAATGATTATAAGATAATATTGAGCCTTTTCCACAATGTCATTATGAATTCTCTATATGGATCATTTTATCCACGTTACTTCTGTAACTGTATAGTACAGCCGAAAGGTGGCGCCACAAAACATTTGCATGTCGATTTGCAGACAGCATATCAAAACAGGTTGAGGCGTTCAATCATACACGTCTGCGTTGTAGTCATATCAAACATTCACATTTTTAATAAATAACAAATAAAACCGACAAGCATTTATTTCAATTCTTTGGACGAGTATTATTATTATTATTATTATTACATTATAGGACCTTATTTTATCGTGTCTATTTTGTGCAGTATTTTATACTTCGATACTTTTTACTGTTCTTAATTCTATTTTTATTCTGTCCATTTTGGTACTGCAACATGCTAATTTAGTGCGGGATCACTAAAATTATATTAAATATAGTTTTAAGAGTTTATCTGGCAATTATATATAAAAAAAAGGGTTAGAAAAAACCAACATTATATCCAAATCTCGAGAGGAAAATGAATAGTAATGACCGCATTCGCTTTAATCAGGAGCGGCAGCTCGATGATTGGACGCTCAGTTTTGGTTAGCCACGCCCTCTCGCCTGTCTCCGCGTTGGGCTATAAATAGCAGCTGTTAAAAGCCGCTCACTGTCCTCCAGTCTGTCTGTCTGCATCCGAGACACAGCAGTCCTCTCTCATCCAGCCATTCACCCGAACAACAGCAAATTCTCCGCTCCGCTCTTCTCTTCACCCGCAATGTCGGCCGCCAGCACCGAGACCAGTTCCGCGCTGTCCACCGCCCGCAGGCCGGGTCTCGTTCAGCTGTCCATTTTGGTACTGCAACATGCTAATTTAGTGCGGGATCACTAAAATTATATTAAATATAGTTTTAAGAGTTTATCTGGCAATTATATATAAAAAAAAGGGTTAGAAAAAACCAACATTATATCCAAATCTCGAGAGGAAAATGAATAGTAATGACCGCATTCGCTTTAATCAGGAGCGGCAGCTCGATGATTGGACGCTCAGTTTTGGTTAGCCACGCCCTCTCGCCTGTCTCCGCGTTGGGCTATAAATAGCAGCTGTTAAAAGCCGCTCACTGTCCTCCAGTCTGTCTGTCTGCATCCGAGACACAGCAGTCCTCTCTCATCCAGCCATTCACCCGAACAACAGCAAATTCTCCGCTCCGCTCTTCTCTTCACCCGCAATGTCGGCCGCCAGCACCGAGACCAGTTCCGCGCTGTCCACCGCCGGCAGCCGCGTTTTCTTCCAGCCTGCGCCCGGTGTGGGCTGTGTGGGGTCCGCCGGCCCCATCAGCACCGGGGACGATCCGGTGCAAAAGAAACAGGGCAAAGTGACGGTGAAGTACGACAGAAAGGAGCTGCGGAAAAGACTGGTGCTGGAGGAGTGGATCATCGAGCAGCTCAGCGAGTTGTATGACTGTGAGGTGAGAGTGAAGTGACGGTGGCACCGGTTCCTCAGTGGAATGATTTTATCAATAAAAACTCTCCTTTCCTTTTGGTTTAAATGTCATTTGTTCCTGCATCGCATTATTTTACCTGCCATCAGGGCTTTTCAGTAGACCGGTGTCGGTGATGCTCAGCATCTTTGGTCCTCCGTCTTATTGGTGAGTCTTTGTCTTTTTACAGCTTGGAGCTGGGGAGTCAAGGCTGTTCGGTTTAAACCAGGTCGAGAGGAATGCCATGTTTGCACCCTTTCTTACGTCAGTCTCACAAATCCTCACCTTGTTTTCGTTTTTGCTGGATTAAATTCTAATCTTGGCAACTGGAAAACTGCAAAATCCTTGAGTGCAGAAAAGATGTATTGCTCGTTTTTTGTACATATTTTAAATAAACCTGTCGTTGCTGTGCTGGATTTGTGACCTTATAAAACCTTGGAGGGAACATCAGTCACCAGACCGTATTGGCACACTAATTATTTTGCGTTCTCACGTCTCACAGGTCGCATTCTTCATTAGGATGATGTCTGAGGGAGAGAGACGTCAATGCTGCTCTGTAACCACAGACAGGTTTAGTTTTTCTTGCATTTTCGGAAGATTATGTGGTGTGAAAAATGACAATGACAGACACTAGTCTTCGTTATATCCTGTGAGGCTCTGGCTATTGTCTGGGCCACAGTGTGAATGTCAGTTAGAGTTTAAAGGACAACATTTGTATCAGTATAAAAAACATTAAACATTGTCACAGAGAACCATCCCCTCAGTGTGAGGTGGTCTGTTCTTGGGCTAACCAGTTTATATCTATTATCTTTGTTCTGTCAGAATACATAATTTATAAGACAGATCAAAACAAAATTTATATATTATTATTATTGGGAAACAACAAGACAGATCCTTTAAGGGAAGGTGTTACAAGTTTGTCAAACTAGACACAAAGAGATATCTGTGGGCTGTGAGGTGGAGATCATTACTGGTGTTTTTGCTGCTGATTTCATGTCTGTGATCAAGTGAATAGTTATATCTGGTTGAAGATCACTAGTCCAGTCAGTTAAATGAATTTCTTGAAGACTAGTTACAAGATTAAATTCATATAAAACAATCTTGACACAGGGCACTCAAACAGTGGTTGGTTCAAAATGCATTTGCAGCAGCCCCTGCAGGCATTGGAGGGTGGCTGCAAGCTGTTTTACTAACACTAATGCAAGTCAATTTGATGGGCCTTAAAGGAATAGCTGCACAATCCTGTGTGTGTGTGTGAGAGAGAGAGAGAAAGAGAGAGCATGTGCTCATGTATGCAGTATGCTGCTTGAGCAGAGCTGGGGGGAGGTGTTGGACTGGATGAGAGAAAAGAAGGGCAGTGGGTTAAGGATGTGCTGATGCTGCTGTGACTTTCTCCTCAGCAGCTCCTCTGGCTCTGATGCTCTTCTCTTTTGGAGCAATATGTCCATAGAAATTCCCACTCAGTCCTGTATGTGCACTTGCATGCAAACACCACTGTGCATGAGTGAACTGTGCTGTATCATGTGTGTAATACTGCTGCAATAAATGATTAATATAAGGGATAAAGGGAATTATAGGCCTAAAAACAAAAAAAAAAAAAATCATCCCAGTGGCTTTGTGCTGCATACATTTCTCCTCCACAGTGATTAATTGACTTTTCATGCCGAGCACAGGTCCATGCAGTCACATCTGTTAAAACGTGACCAAAGGTGAACCTGTGCCACCCGAGTGCAAGCCTTCCGTGCTGCTTTTATGGCGTTTGGGCTACAAGCTTCCTCTACTCTTTATGGCTCTGCTGTGGTCCTCACTCAGGTTGTAAAGAGCCCGTCTGAGAGTGGACTGCTTTACACTTCAAAGCCGGCTGATCTGGGCTGCGCTTGGTCTGGAGTCAGCAGGTGTGTTTTATCCACCAGTCCGCTGTGGATCCACAGGTGTCTGTATTTGATGTTTCAAAGAGAGCAGACTTGGTCCTTGTTTTCTTTGAGTGGATTGACATTCTGATTATGATGCGGAAAACTAACTTTGATATTTTATCAAATAAAAATAAAAAGTAATCTTGCAGAGGACTCTGCAGTTCATATTTCGGTAAATAATCCTAGCAACCAAAACCTCCATCATGCATGCAAACAAATTGGATGAAACCGCACAGTAATCCTTCTCTTCTCCAGTCTGTGATCAACAGATATGATGCTGCAAATGTGTAGCACAATGCTGACAGGCGGCAGAACAACAGACAGGAAGGGTGGGTTTCAGCTACATGAGCAGCTCCCAGCAATTTTGATTTTGTAAAAGGATTAAAGGTTAAAAACTCAGTCAAACTACTACATGTTCACCTCTGTGTAAAGTCTGTGACGAGAGAGAGAGTATGTGAGGTACACAGAGTTGCTATGGCCTGCCTTAAAGGTCAGCCTCCATATCCATTTCATGAGAATATCTGATACTGGAGAAGATTTGAATGTGTCTAATGTGGTGGTCAGACCATGATGCTGAAAGTACCTCCAACACCGTCAAATACTTAATTGTACCCCCATTACTATTACTATATTATTATTTGTTTTTAATTAATAGTGAGCCTCCTCTAAGGCTGATCTGTAATTTAACTCTTCACTCTTCCTCATTGAACGTCTATGCTTTCTTCTTAAGGCTTTAAAAGAAGCTGGCAGCCTTATTAATTAATTATTGCAATATTAATATCCACAGACGGGGGGGAGAGAAAATACAACAATGAGGCAGTGAAGCTGCAAAAAACACACTTCAACAAGATTCTTTGTTTTTTCTGATTTAGGGAAAATCCCGTCCTCTGTTGTCAGTGATAATAAACGGTGCCTTGTGTCACAGATTAATCCCTCTCAGTTCTCCTGGGAAATATGGTTGTGTTGGTTTGGCAACAGAGGGCACAGTGAGAAGGTGAAGACTTCAGAAAGAAAAAGAGAGAAGGATAGACGCAATCAAAGACCTAAGTGCTCCCAGAACAGCCCTTGGCTCAACATGGTGTAGGAGAGAGAGGATGAAATTGGACAAAACTGTGGCTAACAATACAGTGTTGTTTCCAATGGTTTATCTATGTCTACACTCTGCCTCTCTTTCACTGTGCGTTCCCATTGACCAATTATTAATTTACTACTGCAAACTGATGTGAACGTAAAATATGGAGATTGTAAGTTCTTTTTGTGTTGAGAGACAATACTAACATAGTTAGGTATTATTTAAATGTAATGTATTGTTATTATTATTATTATTACTATTATTATTATTATTATTAACCGTAGGGCACATTCAGAAGCTCCACAAAGCCTTTTTATTAAGACTTTGTCCCAGACTTGCTTCTACTTGTCTCGGCTCACACCCTTTTCCATGCTGAAAACTCTTGACAACATGTACCGTCATTTTAAAATAAGGGTGTTTCCTTAATTTCACCAATCTCGTGACTTCACAAAGGCACTTTCTTATGCAACCCTGTGCCCACGTTCATTTCCTATGTGTGGCCCATTGTCTAGACTGAAGGATTGCATTTTAATTGCTAAAGCCAAGTCCAGGTGATTAAACAGGAGAGTGCGTCAGTGGGTTGATGAGTCCGTCTGACTGATCGCATGTGGAGCCACACAATCAATGGAAAGCTGTATCTTGCATCTGCGGGAGAGCGAGAGTGACAGAGAGATGGATGGCAAGGCAACTCTGAGGTGGACTCAGACATGGCTGTGTTTGTTGTGTTGTTGATGTGGAAGCTACAGAATTGGGGGAGGAAAGGGTGATAGATGCTGTAGTGCCCTAGTTTCCAGTACCTCAGCTTTTAGAGAGCCACACTCGACAATGCTTATTCATGTGAAAATGCTGCTTCTGCGCTTTGCCCTCCGGCCATGCTTGTGCACATACGTATGTGTGTGTGTGTGGGTGGATTTGTGTCTTGAGGACTGCTGCTCATGGATGTGACAGTCAGAGTGTTTCAGGCCCGGCATATTTCATTTCAAGTTGGTGGTATTCTTCAGATATTTGTTAGATACCATGTGGTTATAAATACTTTCCACGAATGGATCCCAGTCTGCACGTACACACTCACACACACACACAGACCTGGCTCACTCATGGCAGTTTCTCGATACGATATGACAAAAATACCAGCAATGAGGCAAAACTATGCTCCCCTGATGCGATACCACTGGGTATATATATAAAAAAAAACATTCTTCTTCTTCTTCTTTCATTCCAATATATATTTCACCCCTACTTTCTGCGGTGTCCTTGTCAATAACCTCTCCCCTTGCTCGCCTTTCATGTTCTCCTGCTGGGAAGGGGAACAGCAATGTATCATGTGAACCTCACTGGATCACAGAGGAAGAGCAGAACAGTGCAATTCAAGCCAAGTCATTAGCCATCGCTCAATAGGTTTTGAAAAAGTGTGCTGGGGATAGACGCACACACATACACACATTCATAAAGACACACAGAGATGGTGGCGTTATGTTACCATTGAGGTCACTGGATATACTGTATGTACACATGAAGACACACACAGGTAAAAGTAGCCGATTTTTAATGATTTGGTAACGATGCTGCTACTTTATATGGGTGAAGACGTCATGACTGGACCCTTAAAATTAGCACCAGTCAGCTGACAACTGTAAATGATGGAGGACCTCGTCTTACACTGAGACGTAACAGGACGTGGGGAAAACTTGGTTCTCCTATTTAGTCAGTTTTGGATTCTGGATGTTTGCTTCATCGACAGACCCAGTGACAGTGATGGTCATTTGTGCATTCAAAAGCAGCCATTGGACTTTGTGCCATTTGAATTGGACAGTTGGCAAAAATAGACCCTGTTTTGGCGTCTGTGTCCCAGCACGTGTTGACATATTTCGTGTAACACCTGCGGACACATGCATCTGCTGCAAACAAACCAGGGCTGTTGACAACAGGGCCTCTAGTGAGCAGATAGTCGGCAGCTGTTGAAACAGTTATTAACCCGCACCGTGCAGAAAGGGGTCGGATGA